CAGTTAACAGTTGAACTCCTGATCCTCAGTCATTAGGTCCCTTAACAGTTACTAGGACTTATACAGGCTATGGTCCTACACTGAGACTAGACTTGTAAACTGAGCCACTATAGCTGATAGTGGTTTGAGAGCGAATACTGGTTGAAGCAGTGCTTCAGACTAGAACTGAAATAGACAACTGAGTCTATTACTGAGAACTGTCCCTATGAAGTGTACGTAGGGAACAAGAGGACAAAACTAAATAACAGAGTAGCATGCTACTTAAATAAACAAGGCGAATAGAGTTTAATAAGTATGAAACACTGAGTTGGATCAGTGATATACAGAACAGTTTTCACTGGGTTGTATCAGTGATGATAGATGAGACATGATAGATATAAAACATGATGCGAGTGAAACATGATATAGATGAGATGTGATAAATATGAAAAACTTGATGTAGGTGAAATGTATCAAGTGATGGAATCAGTTGTACAATTACAGGGTCAATGACAAATGGTTAGGAAAGAAAAAAGAACCCCCTCCTTTGAAGCTGTAACACATATCCCCACTCAGCAGAGCTCAGTCTGACTTCAAACCCCATTCAAAGTGTTGTGCATACCCTCTAAACTATGACTATGACCTTCTGAACCATGCCTACCTTTGTCAAACCATGTTTGACTCCAGTCTGCACCCTAAAACACACACACACACACACAGCTAAGTAGCCTATAGTTCCAATCTTACATCCAACTCCCAAATAATATGAGAATAGCATTGATCAAACTGCACTTCATGTTTGAGTAAGCTATCAGAACTACAAACCCTCACATCTATCAGCTTCTCTGAGAAACAGCTGAGAAACAGAAACTCACCCTCTATTTTGCATCTGGTTTTAGGGTTAGGTTTCTTGAGGTTGCATCAGCATATCCTGAAATGGATTGCTGAGTCAGTATATTGGGAGTGAATTCTCACTCAGGTGAGTTTGATCATTTTTCTTCAGGCAGTCCCAGGTGTTTTGAGTAGACATTGCCTGGTCACTCTATACCTGGAAGAGTCTAATGCTCTTTTGAGTAAAGGCTGTTGGATCCCGCCAGGGCATAGCTATAGTGCATCTATTCAGTATTCATACCCACTATCTCTACTGATATTGAACTTGCCCATCCATGCACCCCTTGTGCCACCAACATCTCATTGATCTACTGATTTTCTAACTGCTCATTGTATTAGACTGCCTCACTTGCCCTGCCTGTGGTGATATACACAACTGTGCTGTCCTCCTCATGTCAACTGTGCCCCCTCCCTCCTTCCATTGCTGCACTGCTGTTTCTCCCTGGTAAGTCCCCACCCATCACCACCACCACCACCCTTGAGCTCCCTCCTCTGCCTGACCCTGTGCTGCTGCCTTACTCAACAGTGGGATAGCCCCCCTTTGCCATGTGAATCCTGCTGACCCCCTTACACTGCCTGCACTGATCAGAGTAAAAGTGGGTTCTGAAGGTAAGGAGGTAAGGAGCTTTTTCAGAGGCCTCAACAGCAACTCAAATCACCTCACACAGCACATGTGCAAGCTCATGTCTTGACTAGGATGGCATCACCATACTCCATTAAAGAATGCCATTATAGCTCAGTGAGTTCAGCCTTGCCATCTCCTACTTGGACTTATTTTTCTTATACTGTTTTTTGTACAGTGTTTGTTATCTGTTTTCGCTTTTCTTGCCACCCACCCTCCTCAACCCTGCTATATTACTCCTATCCCATTTTTGTTTGCTTTTGTGACCTTTTCTTTATATATTAGCATGGCTTCCTCACTCAAGGCTACTCAAGGTTGCTCAAGGCTGCTTAAGGCTGCCATATTGAATATCAGAATGCCTTTGGCCTGTCAGCACGGTGATGCGACCTTGTGAAACCTAACCCTAACTTGAGGGGGTGTGAAGTAGAGGGTAAGTTACTGTTTCTCAGGGAAGCTGATAGAGATGAGGGCTTGTAGTTTTGATAGCTTGCTTGAATGGCAAGGGCTTCACTATGTCTCTCAGGACAGTGTCACAAGGCTGTCTCAGACTGTCTGAACCCTCCGATGATGCAACCTTGGGAAACCTAGCCCTAACTTGGGGGGTGCAAAGTAGAGGGTAAGTTTCTGTTTCTCGGGGAAGCTGATGGGGGTGAGGGCTTGTAGTTCTGATAGCTCACTCGAATGGCGACAACTTCACTATATTTTCTTGGGACGGTGTCACGAGACTGTTTCGGACTGTCCAAATACTCCAACTTCTTGTAGAAGCGGAGGGAAGGTAAAAAGGGAACTGGCTTGATAACTTGAACACGAAGTGCGATTCAATTGCAGACACACAAGTCTTGTTTGAAGATCGGGCATAGGAACAGGACTTTGGAGTACTTAGCTATACACGTAGGTATGCTTTGAAGGGGGATGTACTGGGATGGGATGCAGTTCAAAGGTTGTAGGTGTAGTTTGGGAGGTTGTAGGCGTAGATTAGAGGGTCGTAGGCATAGTTTGGAGGGTCATAGTTATAGTTCATAGGGAGACACAATGCTTCGAAGAAGTTCAAGGCTGGACTAAGCTCTGCTGAGTGGGGGATGCAATTCTGTGTGAGTCTCACTACTAGGGGCCGAGTGCTGCATTACAATCATGCAAAACTGCTCTTAAATATCTCTTATCCTGCCCAAACCTCCCGAGTCACTGCCTCCACTGCCCTAACTGTGCCTAACAATCCTGATACCCTCCTGACACTAGCCAAACACCTCTATCAGTTTCAACTCCCATCCTATGCGCTACACCTGCTAGTCTCGGAAGCCCGACTGTTGCAAGTCTTGGCATCATGACCCAAGCACACCAACCTAAAGGTTTACCTGATGGCCCTGTATCGTCTGTCTCAATCTCCAGATGATGGGGTTTTGTCCTCGAAGTTGAGCCCCCAGAATAAAGCTGCCACCAAAAGATCCTGATCGGATCATAGTGAGATTGCAAAGCTTCAAAGATGTCGAAGAATGGGCTTTGCTCAAAGGCGTTTTTGTGTGGAGGTATTGCAGGCTTCCCCAAAGGCAGAAGCTTTGAATGCTTTGAATGTTGGGTTTAACTCAAGGCATGCCCATGTGCTACACGGGCCTATCACCAACTTCTTTGTAAAAGTGAAGGGAAGATAAGGGGGACTGGCATGATGACTTTAATGTGAAGTGTGATCCAATCAAGGATATTTGAGTCTCATTCAAGGATTGGACATAGAGTCAGAACTATTGGACTACTTAGCTGGATGTGGGGGTGCGCTTTGGGGTGTGGACTAGGGTCAAACACAGTTTGATGGTGGTAGGTGTGGTTTGGAGGGTCATAGTCATAGTTCATAGGGTATGCGCAACACTTCAAATGAAGTTCAAAGTTAGACTGAGCTGTGCTGAGTAGGGGATGTGATTCTGTGTGAGTCTCACTACTAGGGGCCAAGTACTACTTTACAAACATGCAAAACAGCCCTTAAATATCCCTCATTGTGCCCAAACTACCCAAATCACTGCCTCTGCTGCCCTAAGTGTGCCTAATAATCCTGATACCCTCCTGACACTAGCCCAACACCTCTATCAGTTTTGACTCCCATCTCATGTGCTATGCCCTGCTATTCCTGGAGACTCAACTATTGCGAGCCTTGGCATTGCAACACAAGTGCACTGACCTAATGTGTTGCCCAACAGCCCTGTATTGGTCTCTTGGTGATGGGGATTTTCCCTTGAAGACAAGTTCCCGGAATAAGGCCCCCTTCAAAAGATCCCAATTGGATTGGAGCGAGGTTGTAATTCTTCGAAGATGTTGAAAAATGGGTTTTGGTTGAAGGCGTTTTTGTGTTTGGGGTATCACAGACTTCCCTGAAGTCAAATGCTTTGAACACTTTGAGTGGCGATTTGGACTCAAAACTTGCTTATGTGCTACACAGGCCTATCATTGTATTTTTCATTTATACACAACCTATGCAGTAGTGATCATATTTGTGACTTGTACTGTACATGATTTATCTGAATTTTCAGAGAGGGAAGAGCAGTTATAAGTTCAGTTATTGCTGATTGCATTGCTGAAGAAGAAAAAATCAAGCAACAGGTGGTGTTATATGGGGAGGCTGTTCATATTAAGGTATCCTTTGAGAAAGCAATGAGTCAAGAAGGTCTCACAATGAAAAATAAATAAATTTGCTTACAGTTACTTTGCTCTTTGGACTTGTGTAGACATAAGGGACTTTAGAAGCCTGGTTGATACTTCATCATCGAGCAACTGCTTTCCAAGTCTGCTTTCCCAGTCCTTGGAGACACCAGCCACATGCAGATGGTCTGCACCTATGGAGGTAGAGGCTGTTCCAAGAGCCAGCTTTAATACCTCAAAGAAAGCCAGCTCAAACTGGGAATCCCTAAATTTAGACAGAGACTAATGTGATAATATTTCAGTGAATATAAGTGCAGGTAGAGTTTCAATGACTACTCATATCCGAAATCCCCAATGTATCTATATAAATAGCAGCACTCCAAACAACTATAGGCTGGAATAATTGGTATTGTCAAAAATTGTCCAGGCATCTGGGGCCTTGGAATTTAGACTAGCAAGGAGCTCTGTATGTTGTGCTAGGTAAGCTAAAATATTTTGGCTGGCCAACTCCTCTATTTGACTGACATTACAATTAACATTACACTGATAGGCCTATGTAGAGCATGGGTACATCTTGAGTACAAGTCAACACTCAAAATATTTGAAGTATTTGACTTTGGGAAAGTCTGTGATACTTCAAAAACACATTTTTCCTGAACTCTGTTCTTCAACATATTTGAGAAGTCACAATCTCACTATGATCCAATCAGGAGCTTTCAAAGAAGGCCTTCTTCTGGGAACTCATTGTCAAGGGAACATCTCCATCACCAAGATGCATGGTTGTACAGTAGTACCCTAGTAGTGAGATTTGTGCAGAATCACATCCTCTACTCAGCAGAGCTCAGTTTGACTTCAAACCCCGTTTGACTTCAAACCCCGTTTGACTTCAAACCC